AACTGTCCGGAGGCACTCGTCCATGCCCGCCCCCAACCCAGACTCGCCGACGCGACGTCGCATCTTTGGCATAGAGCTCGCGCGGTCTGTCTCAGAGCAACTCATCACTACCGCGGACCAAGAATCTTCTTCAGATGAGACGGTGGTCCCTGTCGAGAAAGAACAGGACGAGGAGGCACCAGTCCGTCCAGCATCACCTACAGAGTCTACCCTCACCAGCTTCACAGCTCTCACTGAGAGAACTCACGGCTCCAGCAGCTCCAGCGGCAGCGGCTCAACCATCACCCAAGCATCGTGGCCCAGGCGCAGAGGAAGTGAAAAGTCGCGAGCCCACGACAAGTCATTCCTTAAGCGCCGTCGTCAAAGCCGCTCACCCAAGACCCAACAGCAGCTTTCCTCATCCAACGTCTTGAGCTACCTGGAACCAGACTCACCCAACATAACTCCGGAAGCCATCCAGCGCTCTGTCGAGCAGTCATCTTACTGGAGGATGCCCGACCCCGCCGCTGCAAGCTACCAGTCGCCCTCGACGCGGAGCACAACCTCGACAGCCTCAAGCAGCTTCCAAAGCGATGTCTTCTCCGAAACGGGCGCCGGCGACCACGAGACCGACAGGAGCAGCAGCCCGGACCACAGCATCTACGGCGACTCCCCATCCATGCCCGGCAAGTTCGAGGTTCCCATGCCTCCCGGACATGGGCACGGCCAACGGCAGCGCGACTACCGCCACTACGGCACCCCTGAGATGCCGCGCGGGACCGCAAACCTGCCTCACCTCCCGCCCAACGCCCTCCAGCCCCGTCTCCCCGGCACGCACCACGGCCACCCGAAGCACCTACCCAGGGCAGAGAAACTCCCGCTCACGGGATACGAGCTGATCGCCTCCAAGCTGTGCGCCGGCGACGACACGGAACGGTCGAGCATTAAGCCCATCTACCGGCGCTTCGAGGCCCTCAACCACCGCCTGCTGCTTCACCTGCAGGACGAGCTCGCCGAGCTGGAGGAGCAGCTTCACCGCCTCGACACGGCTGACACGCAAACGCGGCGGATGCAGAATTGTTTTCTGCCAGCGTCGAGGAGGCAGGACTCCCTCACCGCGGGTGAGCTACAGTGGCACAAGACGGATATCCTAGGCAAAGTCGGCTATAAACTCAGTCAATATAGTAAGCTTCCTCGTTTGCATTTCACCTCATATCTCCCTGCCTCTAACACGCCGCAGACCACGTCCTCTCATCCTTCAGAGAAACACAGCACCTCCCCAACCCAGACCCCCAAGACGTAGACTTCTACCGCGCCTACCTTGCAAACCACAACCCCATAGTCGAAATCGAAACACGCTTCCTTGATCCCGCAGACGACCTCGTCTCCCTCGCCCGCCCAACTTCGTCATCTTCCTCCGCCTCAAACTCCAGCTTCTCAAGCGACGACCTCCGCACCCCTCAACCGCGCCACGCAAAAATGCCCTCCCTGTCCTCCCTGCTGACTCCAGAAAGCCCAAGCACAGACAGGGCGGAGCGTATTCGCCGCCTGCTCATCTCGGCTCTAACAGGATATCTTCCCACCCTCGCCATCGCTTTCGCTGCAGCGTTTTTGCTGCCGATTCTCGCGTTTGCTGTGATCCCGGGGTTCGTGGGGCGTATGGCTGTCGTGTTGTTGGTTGCTGTTGGCGTTGCTGCTGGCGTGGCGCAGGCGGGGTTGTTTAGTAGTCTGGGAGCGGATCGTCCTGCGAGGGTGGCTGCTACGGAGGGGGTGTTGGCATCGGGGGTTTATATTGGGGTTATGGCTGTTGTTGCTGGGATCTTTGGGTGAGAATTTGAGGGTAGGAAAGAGTGTGATATGTGGTTTAATGATTTGATGGGTTTGATGGATTTGTGGTAGATGATGATTAAACGATGAATGATACCCCTCTTCACTTGATATCTCTACTTCCAGACCTTCCTCGTTCATTTGTATTCTGAGTGACCTGACTGCGACACCTTGTGTGACTCAATTCATCACACGACTTATGGTTCATGTATATCTACATCGCCAGTTGGACATTTCTTCGTGCTGCCGAAGTACTGATATGTCCCAAGTTGCTCGCGTTACCTTCGTCCTTCCCCTTTAAGAAACCATTTTCAATTTCCACTTGCAATAATTTCACTGCGAGATCGCAAATCACCAAGAAAGGCGTTCCAACTTCATCTAGCATCAGCCTGTATACCTTCCATCACTCTCTCATTCAAGTTTTGTGAACGCCTCACTAGATCTCACGAACTCCCTTCGCTTTCCTCGTCTCCGAAGACGTCGTCGTAGGCGTACGGTCGCCCTGCTTTCCTCATGCTCTTGACATTGCTCATATACGTGTCATTTAGAGTCGGCGCGTAGCACTGAGTGTCATAGCCAAGGACGCAATCGACATAGAGGGCCCTCACTCGACGACAAATTGTTAAATACCTATGCGGGAAACTCGCGGAAGCATAATTATTCCGTCTCGTGTTCATCCTCCGTCAGGCTTAAGAGTTTTAAGTGCTTCACTTGTAGAAGAGTATGGTGTTGATTTAGGCGTATCTAGATTTGATGTTTAATCGATTCAAATGTTCTGACCATCCATTCGCCATTCTGCTCAGCCTTTATGCCAGGACAAACCAGAACAGTGAGAGTTTGAAGACAGATTTCACGATTATACGTATAAGCCCCAATAGCCAGAAGCTCTACTGTAACGAAGGAGTTCCTCAGCCTCATTGTTTCAGCCTTGCTTACCATCTTGTCAACCACAATAATGATCAAGCGACACACCGTTCTGCTAATGGCTACTTTCACTTTCTCACACATTGCCACTCTGTTGATTTCCAATTTGAGAAAGTCCCACTGCATTCATACCATAAACATTAGAAGATACCATCCAATGCTTGCTACTTGTGATTCAGCATTCGACTCCACGGTGGTATCAAAACAAACAGTACATCAAAGAGTTGGCTTCCATGATCTGAGAATCGAAATGCACCCTATCATCAATCTATAACATCAGTGCTGACTTGCCACGCTTCAGAGAATGAGATCACAGCACATTTTTGTTTCTTTCCAGATGCCACTGTACTCTTCTGGAGTGCCTTGCGCTGAAGTTGAGTTGTCGGCGCTGAAGGGGACCTTTTTGGCCCGTACAATGGTTCCCATTCCGCTTAGCTAGTAGCTACACTTATGCAAATTCTATCACGTCTACAGAAACCATCATCGGCCTGGCAACGGTTTCTTGAAAGCATTGCACGCTACCACAAAGACTTTCCTCAAGATTTACTTAACAGTACTCGCCTTATACCTGAACAGAATTCGCCCCCAGTCTTTTCTTCTCCATCACATTTCTGCTTTTCTCTGAAAGACATGCATTTGCATAACTCTCATTAGTCCCATGTGCTCTAAGTCGTCTGATTCCATGGCTCTTTCTCATGTGAATCATATTTGAACGAGCATCCGATGAAGAATTCCGTCCAAACGAGTGTCTATCTGAAATTCGTGCAAACACCAGGTCATTCAACAGAGGGGAACAATCATCAGACGAGCTCTTTTCTCCATGCTGACTGACAGCTAAAAGATAGGTTTAGGCTGCTTGACCTGCCTATCCTTTTCTTCGCCTTTTGCCTCCATGGGAATGGACTGAGGAAGTCATTCTGGAAAATTCGTCACTGAATGATCTCACATCCCCAAAAACCCATCTATCGTTTTCTGCTCTCGCCTTTTTCGTCTGCTCTGATCATTTACCTCTGCTTTCGTCTCTTATTTCTTTATCACCCAAGTCCCAGCTCCAGCTCTTTTTATGAGCTGAGCTGCCCTGTCCATTCCTAAACTCAATCATATTATATATATTATCTGGAGATGTGCGATCAGTTCTCGCCTTTTGAAGTCCATCTCTACTCCCCTTGGGCCTTACTCCTTGCGCCTTTTGTAAGCTGCTGTGCCCATCTCAAAAAGGCGAGACCAAGTCCACCTTATATATATCAAGTTGCCATTACGTGAATTAAGGCATCTGCTCTCAGTGTGAGCTATCATGCCAACCTCCTGGTCCGCCCAACCAAGCTATTCTCCTGGGAAGTTTCCATCACCATGGAGCCCAAGCAACCTGCTCTCGCCCTTTATGAAGAACTTCACTTCGGCCTACTTTCTCTCACTATATGTGTGACTTGCCTTGTCTTCATCTTGCCTTACTCAAGCAAGCTGTCTACACTCAAAGTATGATGGCCATGTAGCCCACATCGTCTGGTCTCTCGCCCTTTGAAGCTGGCTCTTACAAGACAGCTCTCGCCTTGATTGTGGCCAACTTTGTCAGCCTCTTGAACAAGCTACACATATCACTAACTTCAAAGACATGTGGTCAGGTCTTCTGCTTTCGCCCTTTGAGATTGCATGTACACCTGGCTCTCGCCTTAATTGTAAACTACCTTATGACTGTGACCTCCGTTTCAAGAAGCTACCTCATTCTTATCACCAAGTTCATGTGTATGTGTTCCAGGTCGTCTGCTCTCACCTTTTGGGGTTTCCACCCGCTGGCTCTCGCCTCTTTTGTGAACTTCTGTATCCCCTAGCTCTCGCCTGATCTGTGATCTACCCGCCGCCACTCTCACCCAAACCCGCTCTTCTCATAATAAATCAGTGATTCAAACCATTTATCGACCAATGAGAAAATTCCGAAGCACCGTTTTTCTCTTTTTAATCCTCGTCCATAGCTCCCGCCTCCAAAATAAGATGTTCAACCCGCATAACCACCCCAATCGGCCAATCACCAGTTCATCCAGGGGCACGTACGTACCTCTAACTATCGCGAACTTCTTCCTTAATAGCCTCATAGTTCACACGGCCTAAGGTATCGAAAAGGGTGGTTCAACCACCCACCCAGCCCTGAGTGATCTCGTCGCCTTTGCCCTCCTGTTGCCCTTTACAAAAAGATCTTCTCTCTCCCCTCCCTCTCCCAAACTTTCCTTCCCTCTCACCCACTCTTCAACTTCGCAAACACGTCACACACTTTTGCCCACAAACAACCGCACTTTTGCACCTTGTATCCCATACATTCTATTCATACCACCAAACCCCTCCACACCACAACAGCATTCAAAATGCGCGCCTCATCCATCGCCAAGGGTTACACCTTCTACCTGGGCACTGGCCCTACGATGACCGCCGATCCTATGGTTCAGCATGATGGCGCTACTGGTAAGCTTCCTTTCTCGAGCATTCGCGAAGCGCGGCGTGAAGGCTCACACACATCCAGAGACTGGCTCCTACGAGCTTACGACCTTCCTTCATGATCCTGGCATGGGTCATCCTACCGAGATCGCTTCTCCGGCTGTCACTGGTAAGTTTCAGTCTCATTTCTCCTTCGGAAGCGCAATTTTCTAACGCGTTGATTCCCCAGTCCTCACTTCTGAAGTGTGCACCCTTGTGACCACCCAGATGTGCTCTGCCATTGAGGTTACTCAGAGCCTCAGCGTCTCTCAGCCCATGATCACCGAGACCGCTGGCACCACCTCCTCCATCTTGGAGTCTGCTTCGAGCTCTTCCGCTCAGAAGACCAGCACCTCCTCCGAAATCCAGGAGACTTCCAGCACTGTCAGCATGACTGGCTCCACCACTGAGCCCGTCGCGACCCCGACTGCCTCTTCCGAGGCTTCCAAGACCGAGGTCATCATCGTCTGCGCCATTGCTGGCGCCATCCTGATGTACTTCCTTTAAGGGAGTCAAGTCTAGCTATGCACTCGTTGGCAGTTCCTCACTTGGAATGGCCTGGATGAGACACATGGATTAGGGAATTGGTATGAGCCATTGAGCTAAGGAATTGGAACTTCATCAGGGATCACGGGTTCAGGTTCTTCATAGGCATACAGGATTCGGATGCATACAAGCAGCATTTGAGTCAAGGCCTCATTTCAGAAAATTGACATTACCTCGTCACAAAATTCTCTCTCCTATCCCTTATTGTGTGACTGTACTCTGCAATGTGATTATGTATTAGTTGACCTTGATATATCCTACTCATGAGACGTGCCGTTGCCGTATCCCCCCAAGCCATATCACGATGCCAGTTCGAATTTTGTTGTGGTGTTTTTCACGAAAGTCAGAGATGATGCCGTCACGCCGCCGCCGCGATGTGGCGCGTTAATTGACGCGCAATTGAAATCCGTCAGCGACCTCACCGTAATTCAGCAGGATTCTCGCAAGACGATTGTAGTCCGATCAGTCCGCACGGCGTGCCGCCAAAATGACTCGACTCTCGTTGTGGTGTTTCGGAACCGTCAGATTAGACGCGCTTCGTAGTGGGATTCGCGGCAAGGAGGCTGGACTCAAAAGCAAGAGCATCGCCATTCCAGAGCTTCAATTCTATGGATGAAGCAATATGTTTTATAGATGACGACGTCCATTTGCGAGTATCGCAAGACGTCAGCGGAATTGAAATACACCTAAGCCATCGCGACACTGAGGCTAGACTAGCAGACCAAAATATCACGAATCCAGAGCATCAATACTGCGAACGAAGGAATCATCTTTCTGCTCATCCCTAGATCAGAATCACCAAACTCCAGCATCCTCTATAGTATTCCGAAGCCATCGCGGCATTCTAAAAGCAGTGCTTGGCTCGAGAAACCACCAACGAAGCCCTTGTTTTGACGCCCATCGACGCTGCTGCTGTTCTCATTACCAAACACTGGAATCTCGCTCTCGCGCTGGCCGGCTAGCATCGCAATCAACGCCTTCACCATTAGACAGTCTATTCATAGATCAAATTGACAAACATCTAGGAGCTCCCAACTTGCGTACCTTCATCTACCATCGCGGCATCACAGCGCCACCAGAACTCCCCTCAAAGGGCGCCGAGCACACCAAAGAACCCTTATCCCGCCCTCGATTCAAGCCCCCTAAAACAGTCAGAACCACCCACCAGAATCTCGCTCCTTCCACTTTCCCTCCATGTGAAAATTCTTTCGTTTCTGCGGCGATGGGTTCCCGTGTGGTGTGCTGACTTTGGTGTGTTGTTCAACTGTAGTAGGCCCGGTGTGGATCCACGGGGCCGAGAGCCCCGAAAACTTCGGTGCACCACCGGCCCTCAGGTCCGAAAGTGGCCGGACTTGACCCGGAATGTTCTTTCTTGATCTGTTAACATCCACTTCTACTGCTAATTTGAGATTTACTGGCCTCTGTATGGACTGCAGCTAGCGAGTGTCAAGACGGACGAAGTCTGACCTAATGGAGATGGTAGAGGTGATTGTTGTCGCTCATCGACGGATTTAGGAGGCACGGAGTTGGGTTGTATATTGCCCCGACAGTCCAGGGACACCTTGTTTTGGTGATAGTATCACCACATTCTACTGACTATATCATCAAAGTCTCATGCCTTCCCATAGTCTCAGTATCATCAGCCTCATAGCTTCATATCTCGTAGACGAGGCAGAGCACAATCCTGCAATGCCCTCCTCTATATCCAAGCCCTATACCCATCGCAAACCTCAAGGACAACCCTCAAGGCCCCTCAATTCGGCTTCCCAGCACCAACCTCAACCCTCCCCCTCTCAACAACCTCACAAACCCATCCACCAAGCCCTCCCTTCCCTTGCCCTTGCCCTGCGTTCCCAGTCCCCTCCCAAAACCAGACAATCTCCAAGCCGCCCAAAACCCCCCTAACCCTCCGACTACAATTCCCAAACCCCGCGATCCCTCTAACACAAACCTCCCTCAGCACCCTCCTCTGCGCAAATCCCATCCGCCGCTCCGTTAGCAGATACCGCTCCATCAAGCCCGGCGTAGCCCAACTCCACGCATTCTCGCGGTACGGAATCAGCTCCGTCTCGTAGTAGAGCTGTCTACAGACCAGCACCAGCAGCGTCAGCCCCCGTCCCAGGACCGCGGCCTGCTGTCGTGAAGACCTCTTCTTCTTGTGGCTGGTCTTGGGGGTGAGGGTAGTATCTCTTCTTTCTGGTTCGGGTATCTGCCTCGTGGGGGATGAAGTAATCGCGGGGACGCAAGTCCAGGGGTTCGCGCCGGGTCGGAGGGCGAGGCAGTGGAAGGATCCCGTTTTGGGGTCGTGGAGGACGTGGATGCCCATGTTGGATAGGAGGAGACGGTAGATTTTGTTGCGTATTTCTGGCGGGAGGCGCAGGAAGGGAGATTGCGTTCGGTTCAGCTCCCATCTGTGACATCAAACCCAGTTAGCATGACTTCCCCAATTGACTTTGTCCCAGTCCCAAAAGACGTTCAACTCACAACTCAGCCTCCCTTGACCCCGGCTCCGGTAGGTATCCCAATACGCCATATCGTTTCCCCTTTGCATACGTCGCGGAATGCATGAGTCGGGGGAGGAGTAGGAGAGATTGACCGCGACACACCTCCAAGCCGAGGTTGAAGGAGTGACATGTCGTTCGCGCCACCCAGGGGGAAAACGTGGGCGTGGGGTACCTGGTACGTGGGGTTTGGGGGAGTGTGAGATGGATGATCTGCCGGCCGGCCCGTGCTTCTTGTAGTGCGCCAATCGACACAACATGTCGGGGGCAACCATTCAAACATGATTGTTGCTATTCGCGTTCAAAATGTCTTCACTTTATATCGTCGGATACAAATCTCAACAATTGATACGCTAGCAGAAGAAGCGCGAGACCGGATTCATTGACACGTGGGACTGGCGATGGACACAACGGAGCACATGATAGGCATTAAATTTTAATGTGTGTACGTGGGCGAATCACGCAAATATTATAGTACGGAATAAGCAAGGCTGAAATCAAAAGATGGCTTTACCGCCGTATGCATTTCGTCACTGGATATCACAACCTCCCTTACACTGGTACTTCCGTCCCGTGGGTACAGACAGGACAACCCTCCCGCACTCGGTCCTTGAGCAAGCGCGCATGCGTAACCTTTGAGCCAACGCGGTACCCGCTTCGGGTCGACTCCTCGCTGGCCAACCCAAAGTCGGCCTCTTGTCGCTTGCCAGGGTAAAGCATCTCCATGAGATGGGACTGGTGGAAGACGTGCCCGCAAGCAAATCCAACCAAGGTTTCCATCTCGTACTCTGTGAAAGACTCGTGGCACTGAGCGCAGTGGCCAGGCTTCGGCGGCTGATGCGTGTGGCCCGGTTGTTCCACCGCCTTGGGTGCTTTGAAGAAGCTCTCTTCCACCTCCTCCGCGCTGACTGGAGGATGCACGACGTCTCTGACCTTGACGTCGACATGATCCGTTGATTGAACGACGACTTCAAATTTGATTCCCTTTCGCTGCCCACTGCGCAGGTCATTTTGTGCGGCGGCGACCTCGCTTCGGAGCACCCGCGCAACACCCGAGCTGATACTGTATTGAATCTCGTGTTCCTTCATGATGTGTTTTAAGCCCTCTCTCAAGCCTTCAATTTCGAGTCCTTCGGGAATGCGCCTCACGAGCTTGATGGGATTGATCGCCGTTCCGACCTCTTCAAGAAGGCCGCGGATGAAGCTCGGCTTGTCCATGCTGTAGTTCAACAAATCATCCCAGAGATCAGGGTCGTCTTGTTGCTTCGCAAAATCGATTGCCTTCTTGACATCCTTCAGTCGATCAATGATGAGATAGAGAGCTCGTTTCATCTCGCCCGTCTTGGAGTACAAATGTACTAACTCGTCGTCGTACCTGTATTTTTCGCACTCTTGGACAGCCTGTAGTTGTTAGTTTGCAAACTAGGTCTCGGTAATGCCAGAGCATCGCTGTCAATATTGGAGACGAGTATTCTACTCACCTTCTCGAATTTGTACGAGGTGGAGGACTTCAAAAAGCTCATCAAAAGGTCCCGATCGTACTTGGCGAACAGTTGAACAGCCATATCCGCAAACTCATTAACTTGGGATTGGCTATCCATCAGCAGCCTGTCGCGAGTCTCCCCGGAATGTTCCTCGATTCCCTCCCCCTTGTACAAACCGCGCAGGTAGAAGAAGAGATACAGGTTGAGTTCCTTCTCCTCGAGCTGTGATACAACCACAGAAGGCTTGACAAGGCCATGTTGTGCTTCATCAACGAGAAGAGTGATGGCCTCTGAGGTAGCGGCTTCGAGCTCGTCTGGTCCCATGGTTCCGACTTTTTTGTTCGGCACTCGCAAACCGATGAAGCCGGGAATATCATCAGTCACTGCTTCAGCGAGATGATTGTCGCGGATCAAGCGGAACGCAGAGTCCGCGTCTTGTAGCTTGATGTGGCATTTGAGCGATTCCCTGAAGCGTCCATTTGCCTCGTGTAAGCGTGCCAATGACTCCATCACAATCTTCCAGTCGCGACCCTTCTCACCCCCCTCGACGCTGTCCTCTCGCACATCGCGGTACTTGAGTTGATTATCCAAGGCTGTGGTGACAGTCTTGATGTCGAAGAGATCGGTCGGCCAGCGGTCTAGCAGTTCTCTGAATCTCAGCTTGTCTGCCTGAATGTAGTGATTCAAGACGACTTCGTAGATTGTGCCGGGGATCGGCGGGTACATCGGCTCAGAAGGGATGTAGTCCGTGATCTCATCGAACTTGTCGGCGCCAGCAAATGTCCAGACCCATTTCTCCCACCTATCGGGAGAACCAAGGACTCTGCTGCACACTTTGCCGGCCGCGGCCCAGCTACCTGCCTCAATCAACTCCCGGATCCAGAGCTCGCCAATGCGTCTTTTCTCTCTTTGCGCCGAGGAATTAGGTTGTCTTGCTAGCCCTGTAGATCCCATGACTGATGAGGCATCGTCAAAG